GCGAGTCAATTTAAGCCAAAATTGTGTGTGGTGCAACGAGCGCGCTGCTGAGTCACCGAGGGTTCACCTAAGGTCGTATGATCCTGTAGGAACTTATTTTCAGGCCCTCTACATGCTGGTCCTTAGCCCTTGCAACTAGAAGTTGAGTGCTTGGAACCACTCATGCGAGTTCTTCACAAAAATAAGTAAAGAAGTGGTTTGAAGTTCTACGGGAGGTGGGCTCCATTACTAGTCCGCTAGGATGGTCAACAAGGAACTCCTAAGGCTAGATTATGGGTTTTGAGAGTAGGAGACTAAGACCTCACTAAAAATGAGGTCAACAAACGTCCAACTCATGTTTCTCTTCATTAAAATGCTATGTATGGCTTTAAACAAGCTCCTCGATAATCGTTTGCCATCCTTACAAACATCTACAACAATTAGGCTTTCAAGCTAGTGTCTCCAATCCATCTATATCATCTTTAGTCAAGATAATATATCTTTGTATTTTCCTCTTTATATGAACGACATACTCCTTACAAGTAATAATGGCATAGCCAATCAAAATCTATGACCTACACTTCATCCTTATTTTCACATATGCAATCTTGGAACTATCTCCATTTTTTGGGAATATAAGTTCAACAAATAATATATGAACTATAGTCCAAGTATGTTATAAAATTGATCACTCAGTCTGTAATATCACGTTATAAACCGGTTCTAACATTGATTCCTACTAAAACTTCTATTACAACTTATTCATCTATTCCTTTTGCTAATCATACTCCCTATCGTTATTTACTTGGTTCTTTCCAATATCTAACAAGCACAAGGCCAGATATCAGCTATGTGGTTAACATGCTTTGTCAACATATACATCATCCACATAATAGCCATTTTCAATAACTTAAAAGCCTGCTTCTCTACCTTAAAAAAATGTTGCTATATGGCTTACGCATATATCATTCTTCTCGTCACCTTCTTATTCAAATTCTGATTGGGCGGCCGATTTAACTGATTGAAAATCTAATATTGGTTATTGTTGTTCTTCTTAAAAAAAACCTCGTCTCCTGCATGTTAAGAAACAGTCTACAGTTGGTTGCTAATCAATTGGAATTCAATATCATACACTTGCTACTGCCCCAACTGAAATCATTTGGTTACATCAGCTTCTTCAAGAATTTACCACGCCAACTACACTGTCAACAAAATTATACTGCAACAATGGCCTACCCGTTCCACCTGTAAACAATCCAATCTTTCACGTTTGGATCGAACACATTGAAATCAATTTTCATTTCATTTGTGATTGTCCCAAGACCAAGATTATTATGACACAACATATAGCAACTCAAGATCAGCCTGTTGATATTTTCACCAAGGCACTTTCTACCTCTCATTACAAGCATTTGCGGGACAAGTTAACAATCCATGAATGACCATTAATTTTCGGGGCAGATATAAATGATAAGTAATAGCTAATATGTGGTGAATGATGAATAAGTAGAATTTTTATTATGCCTGGATCAGGAGCAGCCACTAACCTCTTTTTTTGCATCCTTTCCGTTGATCTCTAACAGCATAATTCATCTTCACCATTGATGTGTGTAACAGCTGCTGTTCGGGTTCAAGTTCTGCCTCCCAGAGCATCCATTTCTTGCTGATACACCAATGTAAAACTGTAGGAAAATACTGGAAGATGAAGGATTGGCTCATGTAGAGCTCTCCCTAGCTTCTAAGTGAGTTTTGGTGTCTGAGCTCCGTTTCTATTATTTATACTCAGCCTCAAATCCATCAGGGCCTATATAAATCCCATGCTTGAAACAACCAAACAGTCCATATAAACCATTCCAAACGTCCCAGATTGAAATTTAGCAAAGCCTAGTTAGTGATCATGTCATTATCACCCGCAATTTTAAGGAAGATTGAAGGACCATTCAGGGTAAACGAGACATCCATAAGAGACATATAAGAAAGTTTTTCAAGTAGGAAATAGAAGACAGAGAAAACATGTACCTCTCCAAGATGAAATTTCAGGAGTTGATGCATTCTAAATCGTGTTACAAACTTCTTTACAGCATTTTGTTTGGCTATGAATTTTGAAGATGGAAGAAACCCACACTTCGGCTGAATATTCAGTTTAGTGACCAAAAGACATGCAAAAACAAAATAAAAGATACTTTAGTTCAAAGAAGATGAAGTTTTAACCCAAAAAAAAGGAATAGCCTGTTTCTGTTGGATGTTACCTTTATTTCCACTGCTATGCATACATCATCTTTAAGAGAACCTGATAAGAAACTGAATAAAATATATGCAAAATTTAAATTTATGCAGTGCGCATCTTTTTGCCTAGTTGTATGTAAGCCAGTGAGTACTATTTGTGGTAAGGCTTTAAGTGTGTAAGAATAGAAGTGGAAAATTTTAAATGTACAATGAAATGTAGAAAGCCATATGACATATCAAACATTTCCGCTTGACATTAGGCAAACATGTTCTTAGCACACTCATGGGTATGGCTTCCCAACAAAAAATAATAAGGGATGAGGGAAGCCAACGTTTCAATAAAAGAACCCCAAAGAAAAGTATGTCAAAATAATTAATCCACCAATATATAAAGGGCTGCAAATAAAAGGAAACATTCAACAAGTTACTCAAGACTTAGCTTGATAAGAGCTCGTTCACAATCCTTGGATCAAATAATCAAATAAGCATAAACAATTTTACATATACTTGATTGTTAAAATTAACAAGCTCGAACAGTTTCATTTTTGTTAATTAAAATTTTATTTTTGAAGCTCTATAAGGGGGCTCATTTATATTTTCAAATAAGCTACTTTTTTGAAGTTAAATTATCACAAACTGAATAAAACTCGAGCGAGCCGAGCTTCAACCAAATTTGAATCAGCATGAATTTAAAACAAATCAAAAGTTTAAACACAATCACAACTTGCACCGAGCTCAGGCCAAACTCAAACAAAGTTTTAGCAATCAAGCTTGAGCTCAAATAGACCTGAACTTAGCTTGTCTCGATTTATTTTCAGCTCAAAATTCTCAATTTGAAGGGAGCCTCCAACTTCCCGTCAAAAACCTCGTCCATAAATCAAACCAAGCCAGGTATAATACACTGAGGTGTACTATCTTGAAGAAAAAGTCAAAAACATAATTTGTTGAATACCAAGGGGATTTGAGATCACTTTTATTTTATTTTATTTTTCTCATGTCTTGATTTAAAATAAAATATATTTGGTATGATATAACATGCTTAGTTATTTTTAAAAACGCTCAAAATAACTTTTAGATATTTTAAGTGTTTTTAGAAACAACTTTGACTTATTTTTAGAAATAAAAAATAAAACATGCAAAAAATGCACTAAACAAACATGTTTATAAAATAAAAGCAAAACAACAACAACAAGCCTTTATCACACTAAGTGGGGTCGGCTACATGAATCCTTTTTCTCCATTGCGTTCTATTGAGTGCCATCCTTTCTCTTAAATGTATATTGATCCCAAACAAGCCCTAAGTGACATCCTTTCTCTTAAATACACAAATGAAAAATACTTCTCATTAATGGCCATAATTGATAGATGGGCCACCTATGAAAAGAAGTAGATGATTTGCCATTCTAAATCTAACATTATCAAGTATGAACGTATCCAAGAATCACACATAGTTGAACTCCAAACATTTGTGCAGGTGAAATATGAAAGTGCAGACATGTAAATTGAACATATATACTATATACGGACATTTACATTCATAGCACAAAATTCTAATGCAGTTACATATCTCACACTTAAACTTTCATATTCACACACATTTTCATACTTGCACACATAGCCCTCAAATCTTTAATATCACATAAAAAATAGCACTACTATCATTTTTTATAAGTGAGATACATATTTTCATGCATAGGTTTAAAGCACCAAAGTGCTATATATGTAAATATGAAAATTTAGGTGTGAGATATATAAATACATAAGAATTGTGTGCTAGGTATGTAAATGTCTCAATTATATATCATAAAAAAGCAGCATTTACCATTAGAAAAAACTGAATGGTCAGACATAAGCAGTGCCGAATGAGAGAGGAGGTCAACTTCCGTTGTATGAAGTCGCCAATGAGGACGCTGAGTATGAATGCTCTTTTCAACTGACTCTAGGAACTCCCTTGTTACAAATATGGGTACCTGACATACATGAAACATTCTATTACTCACAATTACAACAATAAGGATAACATGACCAATTGATATTATATTATCATCATCATCATTAGTCATATCACAGCTAAATGGCATCAATTAAACGCAATGTAAAACTCTCATTCAAAATATTAGCTCCCATTTGAAAAGTAGTAATTTCACCATAGAACTTATTTTAACTTAGGACACATCTTGTTATATTTATCTCATTTTAATCTTGTCTGCAAAATCACAGTTGTACCGTCCAAATAAAATTCATTTTATCATATTTATCTCCATCAAATGATAACAAAGAAGTGTTTGAAGGTTTTTTTATCAAAAGACCAACCTGTACAAATGTGTTAATTATGACTTCAATTTACATTTGGTAGTATTGCTAAATATGCATTATGAGGATAGGATGCCACTTCATCATGATTATAATGTACTACTTTACAAAACTCCAAAAACAATATAGGAAGATTTACATACATACCACTCAATCCATATGTATTTACATATCTAACACCTAATCTTTAATTTTTACATGCATATCATGTTTCCTATGCATGAAAAGGTGTATTTCACTTTTGAGAGTTAAAATGGTGGTTTGAAGTGATATGAAAGATTTGGCTGCATAAAGATAAAAAGCAAAGTTTACGTGTTAGATATGTAAATACATAGGAATTGGATCGTTATGTATGTAAATGCCCAAATATTTTATGAAGAATACCCCTCCATCAATGAGCTTGGAGTCTAAGAGAGGGCCCATCACTTGTACTGCATAAATTTTCTCAGCAGTCTCTTTAGAAGTAGATTCACTGAGTTGTGGAATGTCGCCCCATATGAGTTGTTCAGACAAAGAAAATAATCTCTTAGATTCAATGTATGACTGGGTTTGGCCTCGTGATACTTTGTGAACACGTAATACTTTGCCAACCTATTAGAAACAAATATACGAAATCAGCTGTCAACAATTAAACACTAACAAAGATTTGAAAAAGAAAAGGATATGTGAACTTGCCAAGCTAAAAATTTCAAAGAAGCAACCAGGTAAAATAGTAAATAGAGGAATTTAATTAAACTAAATTGTAATTCGTAGAAGACTTTCCTCGGAGGAAACAAACATGTTTATCCAAATCAGTAATAATAACATGCAAGGTTCGCTAAAATTAACCTCACATAGAGTTAAAAATTGCCTTTGAAATAACATTATAAGAGAAAGCAGTGACAAAATGCTAATTTTCCCCCAATTTTTACCCTTTCCTAAAGAAAAATGAAGTGCACTAAACTGATATCACATACAATTTTTCCCCCATGGTTTCTAGCATATTTAAATCTAAACAGCATTATCATATTTTATAAGAGCATATTTTGATGCTTTCTCTATTCACATATATTACAATTGATGTTTCTTTTTTTTCTTTTTCATATCAGAGCTGCCCTGTGCTCACCCCGCATATATTACGTATAGTACCCAATAGTTTGAAACCCCTGATAAGAAAGGCTGGTTGGCGTCCACTGCCTTCATGGACCAAATGGCGTCAAATTATTGGGTATCATGCATTTGCAAGCTGCCCTTGGCATTAATCTTTTCACATATAGAGAGCTCGTTAATTTAAAAAATAGGGTATAAAGTGGATTTTCAAGTAATAGAAGGGCTGAGTAGGATCAACAAGTTTTGAGAATTGTTACTTGAATGAAAATCTGCATAAATTTTCTCAAGAATATTTTATGGCCCTACACCAATTTGAAGGAAATAAAATTAAACATCAATTAACTACTAATGGACTACAGTGAATCAACTTCGCCTACTATTTTTTAGAATATATCATAAAAGCAAAAAAAATGATTATACACAACTTCATTTTATCCATTTAGGATTCAAATTTTCATCCTTCATCCACTGCTTTCAACCGGAAAAAAGCTAGTTCTAACCAAAAATGATATGCTGTCAACATTTTAATCATTGACTAAATAAAGATCTTTTTTTTAAGAACAAAATACATTAACAAGATAATGATATGAGTATAATAACAATAATTAAAAAGAATTGCCATATTTAAAAAATACAACAAAGCATAAAGAGATAATAAGAAGACCAAGGATAAATACGGCAAAAGGGACAATATAATAGGATTTTTTTTTTAATTCCATCTTCAGTCGAGACAGACAATGAAGAGCCAATTTACTCATTCTTACCAAAATGTGGGGAAAAAATTCAATTCCACTAATATGTATCTTTGCCACATAAGGCCTAAAAAGATGGATTCTTGCATCATCCGTTGTAAAGGTTTCCCAAAAATGAAAAATCAAGAAAAATAAAATAGCTTGGTTGAAGAAATGTAGAAGAAGTGATTGAACTGAGATCCACATGGCAATCAAAATGGGGAGACCAGCATCAGGAAACCTTGATCTTGTATCTGCGTCAGGAGAAAGGTCTAATTTAATCTACTTCTAAGAAAAAATTTATGATGAAATGCAAAGGTCAATGAGCCCAACAGTGTAGTCATCCACAGCAATAAATCAAATATAAATTTGCAAATTACATCTATGTTGCCATGCTGAATGAAGCCATAAAAAAAATTGCTAATAATTATGAGTGCAAGTGGCCCAGCAAGCATAAATACCTCCAATAAATACCTCTTCATCGGTGAAGAGAAGAGCAGATTAGCCATGAAAAGAAGTTGTCACAATGATGATAATTCCTTGTTAAAAAAAAAAATTGAAATGTTGTGGATGAAGAGGGGTATAATCCAACAAAAATCGATCTAAAAACAACATTAACAAATAAACATGGAGTGTGGTAGGAGGCACAGAAACCAATGAGAGGGTGCAATAAGAGGTGCCTCAGAAAAGTGGAGAGCTCCTTGGGAGTCAACCAAAACCCTGGGAGTAGTTAATATCGAAGGATCCAAAGAAATGTCAGTTCATCTAAAAAAACTAAAGTGGCAAAATATCTCCCACCTATAACCAACAAATAAAAATGTGCATGCGAGAAGGAACAAAAATCAACAACTAAAGAAAAAAATGAAGATAATAACAACATAAAGAGTCTCCCTAGGTGCTAAGGGGGCAAAGAGTGAACAAGATACCAGCAGAAACTAGTATGAAAGAAAAGTCAAAACAAGCAACCCGTTACTAAAAAACATGGAGAGAAGAGGAAGTGAGCCCTAGCCCACATCAATGTAGATTAGGACTAACTAAAGGTAAAGACCAAGGGTTAGGAGAAGAACGAATGTTGGCACACGCACCACAAAAAGCAAGCAGCCACTAACATGCATGACCTTGTGCAACACCGCATAAACCTAACACAAGCAAAGGACAGTGTGTGCATGGCTCATGATTGCTTCGTGCAGAACAAACGTGCCATACATGCACGCACGAATAACAAACAACTAGCTTGTGCCGAAAATACAAAATGATCGGCCTTTTGGGGTAAAAGATATTACGAGGCTATTTGGTTGGCAGCAAAAGGAATGAATTGGCAACCTAATGCAGTACTTTTAAGATTTTATGTGTTTGGTCACATAAATTATAAATCCAGTGTAAAATATGAAAGAATTTAGAATTCATTCTTCAGTTCATTTTCTTTATACTTAAAATTTCATAGATTTGGCTGAATTCCAAATAAACGGCCCTACAAAAAGTTTAGTCAACGGCTGCGGCCACTACCTTTGTCCATCGTCAGCACCGGCCTCCAACACACCAAACACCAACGCCATCGCTGCCACCACCACCACCAGCGGCCACTTGCGTTCGCCGCCATCACCGCCAATAATATATACAAGTCCTCAAATATGTTGAAATGCATTATTTTCATTCTACTTCAAACCAAACAAAAAATTATAAAATCGTACGTTTACTTTGCAATAAAAAAAAATCAAAGTATTTCAAATATAAGGCATTAATTCTGCATTGGATTTATTTTACTCTGCATTACTTTTCAACAAACCAAATAATTCTCAAGGAGAATGGTTCGGCACAAGTTATGGATATATATCGAGAAGTGTGAGCGAGTGAGAGTCCACAATAAAGCCAGGTACAAATCTAATGGAAGGGTTTCACAATTTGAATGGTTATGATTACGGCAGAATAGCGAAAGAGAACACCTAAAAAAACTAATGCATAACACATAGTTATTCACTGACATACAGAGGCTCATATATGGAATGTACGAGCTAGTGAATGATTGGATGTTATATGTAGAAGCTCAACAAAACCTGGACTGATCTGACAAATTAAATATGAACTAAAATATCTATTGAGAAAAAAAATTGCTTTAAATATGGTCATATGTTCTAGGAGGCCTGATGTAATATTACAAAAAAGCAATGAGCCAATGTCTATGCCAATGGACTGCCAGACTAACACATGCTATTTTATGCCTTGCCATTCCAATATTTAACAAAATTATATGACACAAATATTAAAAGTCAACTTCAATACCTTATTATAGAGTGCCATATCCTCAATAAAAAATTATATGGAAATGGCAGTACAATAAAAAAACAGTTAAAACAACTGATCTAAACCAGTATATACGCATATGTGGAGAAAAATAAAAGCCAATCATTCTAAAAAGATAGAAAAAAATGATAAAAGAAAGCCTTAATTTCAATGGAGACAGTAGTCGATACCACAAGAATTTGTATATATGAATAATACAAACCAACAGAAGTCAAGCCACTCCAACTCGAAGAATTTTCGTATGAAAAAAGTTAAGCCAGTTACAGCCATCACCCACTAGACCAATTAGCTAAGCTACGACTCAATGAATTCTCATACAAAATAACGTAACCTAGCTACTCACCACCAAGACCACACACCAACACCATACCAACTAGCCGGTTATAGCCCACCAGTGAGTAGCTTAACCAGCCATAGACGCAAGCACACATTAAGACCTTCCAAATAAAAATCTAAGAAGCAATTAGCATAGGTAATAAAAAAGAAGCCAGCCTGCTGATTACAAACATGATCACTTCATAAGTATAATAAAAATTTCACAACCAAGCAGTTCAATCAGAAAAAAAACAGAATACATGCCATTAGAAAGCTCAAAAAGACGCAATCAGCATTAGCTTGGACAACATTTTCAAAGATTCAAAAAAAAGAAAAACAAGAGCAAAAACATATATCTGGAGCACATGAAATTCATCATACATCGAGAAGTGGGGAAAATGAGAACTTGTAGAGGTTGGGAGAAGGGTTTCTTAAAATGGAACCAGGAACTCATTATGTAGCCTCACATGATCTCTAAAACAGGAAGAAAAAATATCTCACTTACTAGTATTATGTAAAGAGATTTACAACTCTCTGAAATAACTTCAAACATTCTATTCATATTTTCTTCATTGAAAGAACCTTGCTATTTTAATAGGGCTCGAAGGAAAATGAAAGTCTTGCTTTCTAGGATTATGCAAAAAAGAGTTGCTACTCCACGGGAGAAAAAAAAAAAGCTTCAATCAGTTTAATCAATTGATTTAAAAAAAAAAGCTAATTTTATAGGAAATCGATACTAAACCTAATGAATCTAGACCATTGATAAAAGGTAGCTTCAAAATTCAAAAAGGAAATATTAAAAAATAAAAATCCTAACAGCTTTTTACTCAAAGAACCAAAAAAAATCCCTAGTTTAATAATTTTTAAAGCACTCAATGTAAAAAACGTTGTTAACTTCAACATTAGAAAGTAATGTCTAAAACTGTAGCATCTTGTTATGTCAACACCCTTTCTTACGTCTCTGAAATGTAGCCTATAAACAATTCAAGTCCATTTCTAAGAAAACCATTGATTTTTGAAATTTATTTGGTGAAGTACAAAAGGTTGCTTGCTCAGACAGCCAATGAATCAGTAACGAATTGCAGCATTAGAATTTTAATCAGAAGCATAAAAGAGTTCATTGACAGTTGTAGTTGGTAAATCCAAACACTAGCA